GGTTCAAATCACCAATCTTTTGCTTGGCAGCCAAATGCCTTAACCACTGCACCACCAGATTACATCATTATAAACAGCATTTCAAAGAAAGCATCTAGAGTTAAGTTACTGTCATACACTAAAATAGAACATGAAACAATGCTTTACTCATCTTGACAGAGCATGTTCTATTCAGTACACCAGCGTTTTTCAAAATGTGAGTACAGATCCATCAGTAATCATGTATTTAGTAAGTTATGATAAGTATTATAAGGAGCTCTGGAGGTGCAGTGCCTAAGACATGTGACTGCTAACCAGAAGGTTGGTGGTTCAAACCTACCAGCCACTCTGCAGAAGGAAGACTGGACAATCTACTTCTGTAAAGATTTACTGCCTTGGAAACCCAAAGGGGGTCACTATGAGTCAGAATTGGCTCAGTGGCAGTGAGTTTGGTTTTTTTTTTGGTAAGTATTATACACCAAAAGGAGCTCTGGTAGCATAGTGGCTAAAAGCACTTGACTGGTAACCAGATGGCTGGCGGTTCAAACCCACCAGCCACTCCTTGGAAGGAAGGTTGGGCAATCCTACTTCCGTAGTGATACTGCCTCGGAAACCCAAGGAGGGGTCGCTATGAGTTGGGGCCGACTCGACGGCACATAACAACAACAACAACAACAACATACACCAAAAAAACCAAACCAAACCCAGTGCTGTCAAGTTGATTCTGAGTTATATACATAAAACAAACAAAAAAACCATAGAAAATACTAGTAGTGCTGAGCACACAGTAAGAACAATTACTTATGTTTCAATTTTTTTATGTATATGTACATGTGTATCTGATTATGATTTAAAAAAAGAATCAGATATGTACTTCAATAAGTACTCTAGTGCAAGAAATATTTTCTGTAGAACCTGTCCTGATTCTCTTCAGATTATCTCTATTTTAAAATTTTGTTTACTCCTCCCCACCGAAGATCTAAAAACAACCCTATCCACTTATATCCCTGATATCATCAAACTCTCTAGAAAAGTAGACGTGGAGACTGGGTCTTGCTTCACTCCTGTTGTCTTTTTTTCCTGTGTATAAAACACCTTCTTTCATTTTCTAATTCGCCAAAAAGAGGCTGTGCTTCAGTTTTATCTCAAGGGCCTAACATTCTATCAGTATATTCATTTTATAACACCAGACCAGTCAATTATGGGTCACAAACATCCAAATGAGGTCATTTTGAAAGGACTGTAACTGTGCTCCTGCTTTTAGTTATATCATCATTACTGAGAGCAAGTTCAAATATCTGCAGACTACCAGGCTTTCCTTAGCATCCACTTGTTTACTCAAATTCATCATAAGACATGAGAACTACTAGGAAAAAAATAAAAATTTTACTACACTTTGGATACTTCCTTTTTTCAGCTTTAAACAGAGAACTGGATCTTTGTTTTTCCAATAAAGTAAGTAAGGATGAAAAAAGAAAGGAAATTAACTTCAGCTTTACCTGAGATTCACAGAGGTAGCCAGCATCACTCCCTTGCTCTATACCAGTTTTTACCACCTAAAAAACATAGTAAGGATTTGTTCAGTGCTGGAATAGATTGCCAAAATACACAATAATGCTGAATAAAACTGTCAGTGTTGTCGGCCTTCGAAGAATAAGTCAAAAGTCTAAATTGGAATGAGAAAAAGAAGATTGTACACCTGGTTGCTTCAGACAGACTTAATTTTCCATTTTTAAGGCTACTACTAAACCCAGCATAAAATGGAAATAGGAGGGAAAAAAAAAACCCCCCAAAACACCATAATAGGAAAAGAAAAGATTCCATAGCTCAAATTCTTTGTCCATGAATACTTTTGAATTCTGCTAATTTGCCAGAGGAAGAGGGATCATCACCCCCTTCCAAGTTTGCCATGTTTACCTTTTCCTCTTATTTACCTTCCCTCCTGCTTAAATTACTTCTCCAGCTTTCCTGCTGTTCTCCAAATGCAGGCAATCCCCAAAATTCTACTTTCAGCCCTTTTCTCCATCAGACACATCATTTAATTTGTGATATTAATCATTAAGTCTATGAAATTCCATTTTACATTAGGGTAAGTACTCTCCTAAGTCCAACGGCAAATATAAAAAATGAAGAAACAACCCTCAATAACCACAAGTCATGAGGATGACAAATTAAAAAAAAAAAAAAGAATATTCAAACCTACATCTCTAACCCTGACTTCTCTACTACTGTTGCCTGAATTTCCTACAATATCTAAACATATCTAAAACTTAACTCAAAATCTCTCTTTGGCAAGTTTCTTGCTACCTTCACATATTTATGTTTACTATTATATTTTAAGGTCTTATTCAAATTTCAATCTTGAATTACCAAAAGTAGCTTCCTACTTCATTGCTTTACTTTGTCTCTTTTTCTAATCTGTTTTTACTTACTATCATGAAAATGGCTCCCTAATAATCTACACAGGACAAAGGTCAAATTTCTCAGTTCACTGTTGACAGCTTTCTAAAATCTAGAGTCAATCTGCCTTTTTGCAGGTTGACATTTCACTATTACCATATAAAACCAGTCTCACAATATGTTCCTTGAAGCAGCTTCATGTTTTCTGCTTCTGTAACTTTGCTCAAAATGCCCACCATCCCAGGCACTACTTTTCCCTCACCTATTTTCTGCCTCACGTCAAATCCCATAAGGCTCTTCCTGATCTCTGTGGCTCAGTGACTGTTCCCTCTCTTGAGTACTTAGCAATTCCCCTGTCCTAATTATCTGGCAATTAATCCTATGCTGCTATACAATGTCTCTAATACCATTATCCGCCCTACCACACATATGTATGTCTAATGTCCCAGCCCAGAAAGTGAGATGAATGTAGGTTATTTTTTTGTTGTTAGGTGCCATCGTGTCTGACTCACAGCGACCCCATGCACAGCAGAATGAAACACTGCCTGGTCCCATGCCACCTCCATGATCCTTGCTGTACTTGAGCCCATCATCACAGCCACTGTGTCCATCCATCTTGTTGAGGACCTTCCCCTCTTTCGTCAACTCTCCACCTTACCAAGCATGACATCCTTCTCCAGGGAATGGTCCCTTGAATGTAGGCAGGAGACTATAATTCATATTTTATGTACTCTGGTGTCGTCCACTTGAAAATATTTATTGATGGACTCATTCTCAATTTTGAAGTCCCTGATTACATACTCTTTTAATCTTCTTAGACCTTTCAAAGGAGCTCTGGTAGCATAGTGCCTAAGGCACTTGACTGCTAACCAGAAGGCTGGCGGTTCAAACCCACCAGCCACTCCTCGGAAGGAAGGTTGGGCAATCCTACTTCCGTAGTGATACTGCCTCGGAAACCCAAGGAGGGGTCGCTATGAGTCTGGGCTGACTCGACGGCACATAACAACAACAACAACAGACCTTTCAAAGAGTTCTAAGTTTCAAAGTCTACCTTTAGATAGACATTTCAATTCTGTGATCACTATAATTCTCATTCTTGATCTTTTTCAGAACTTCCTTATATCCATACTTGTTTTATAATTGGAGCAATGAGATACTTTAGGTACTGGCAATGATTTTGACTAAGGGTAGAAGACAGCCATCATTCATATTTCAACTACCTCTTAATCAATGCCTCATATTGTACTGGCCTTAATGCACTGATAGGACTTAGGTTCCTTTCCTCATTATAACCGATAGCTTGGAACCCATGAACCAATGAATATATATGCCTAGCACCAATATCGGCCAAATGTATGACTTTATATGAGCCCTACAGCCTGCTCTGCTCTTCTCATATTTTGGTAAATACTTTAATAGAATTGAGAACTTTAGTGCAAACATCATGGTCTAGAACACCACGAAAGAGGACTACTGTGCTATACAAAGGGAGGAACAATGGACAATGTGGGAGTACGGAGTAAAAACTTACATCGATTATTTGCAGAGGTGCAGGATAAAGGCCTTTTGTCTGCTTTTGTACTTTTTCTTCCACTTTTTTGTAAATCTGTTGCCTGATAAATGGAATACTCGTGGCGTATGACGTCAATTCTGTAAGGTAAAATGTTTCAAACACTTACTGCAAAGAGCCTAGCCTCCTTTGTTAGCTTGTTCTGTAAACTCCATTAAAATGTAATTCTAGCTATCTGAAAGAACTGCTCTCTACTCTGATATATCCAATTGTGTGATATACACAGTCTACATTTCAACCTAGCAATTTCCCTGTGCCAATTATCTGGTAGTTAATCCTATGCTGTTAATCCTCCCTCAAGAGAGAGAACAGTCACTGAGCCACAGAAATCAGGAAGAGCCTTATGGGATTTGACGTGAGGCCTGAAGAATGGGTAGAAAATAGGTGAGGGAAAAGCAGTGCCTGGGATGGCGGGCATTTTGAACAAAGTTATAGAAGCAGAAAACATGAAGCTGCTTCAAGGAACATTTTGTGAGACTAGTTTTTTTATGGGAATAGTGAAACGTCAATCTGCAATCTGGTTCAGTTAGCTAATAAATATTAAAGCTGGGTGGGTATACTGGCATTGTGTATAAGGTCTGATCTACTACACCCTACCAATACACCATTTTGTACTTATGTATAAAATTTTCCAAAATAAAGTTTAAAGAGAATGGCTTCAACTGATCAGTGTGAGGCTCAGGACTTGACCCTAGAGCACAGTTATTGTACCCTTAAGGATGATTTTAAGCTTGTTGTTGGTTGTTGTTATGTGCTGTCGAGTCACCCCCGACTCATTGCAACCCCTCCTTGGGTTTCCAAGGCAGTATCACTACGGAAGTAAATTGCCCAACCTTCCTTCTGAGGAGTGGCTGGTGGGTTTGAACCGCCAGCGTTCTGGTTAGCAGTCAAGTGCCTTAGGCACTACACTACCAGAGCTCCTGATTTTAAGCTTAGAGTGTAAAAATAATATATTTACCTCTTCCTAATTTTCAGTCTATAGCAAACAAAATTAAATTCCCAGGAAAAAGGCTTTGTCTCTGTTCTTTAACAATGACACTCACTTTCCATCAGTCCCTTGTCTCTCTTTGGAGAAATCTTCTTATCACTTAGTCCTTTGGCAAAAGTAACTGCAATTTCTTCTAGGTATTCAATTGTTCGTTCCTCTGGGGGTTTTACTCCTGGTCCTATAAAAATGAATACAAGAGAGCAGAATGCTAATCAGGCTTAGATCAATTCCAGGTAGGCAAAAACCTAGGCGTGCCAAAGCCTAAGGCTCTAGCACCCACTTGAAGCACACTTATCCATTTTAGACTAGAGACTGATAGATGGCAGAGTCATGAACTACAGGCTCAGAAGGGGAATAACCCTGAGAAGAGGTGCAACAATATGCCTGTAGGCAGAAAACATCTCAGTGTAGCTTCCATTTTCGAGAAGATGTAGTACAGGTCATGAGACTTGTACTTGCTGTAAAACTGGATAAAAATGAATCACAAAAATCACCTTTTTAAAGACACTGGAGAGTGGTGGAAGCAACAAGGGTTAGATGAACTAAAATTCCCACTCATTTTCTTCCCTGAGAGTATGTGATGGTTTTGGTGTGAGCTAAAAATTGGACTTAGCTCAAGCGGAAGGATGCTACTGGGGGAAAGTAAACCACTGGAACTTTGAATGGTTGTTAACAGATGAAAAGCTCAAAGAAACCAACACAAGGACAGTTTCCCTCCTGGAACATCTGTGGAGTTCTAGGGCAGTACAGGAGGCCAGAGGGGTCAGGTTAGAAAGGGAGAGTGAAATCTCTCAAGATGTCATAATGTTTAGGATTAAAGTACTTCTATGAATAAGAGACCCTGCAATAAATATGCAACTGACTTCCCACTCAAGGCATCTGCTGGATTTTGAACCTGGTTGAGGCCCTAGTGGCAGAGTGGTTAAAGCATTGGGCTACTGCCTAAAAGGTTGGTGGTTCAAATCCACCAGCCACTCTGAAGGAAAAAACAGTGCCAGTTTGTTTCCATAAAGATTTACAGGCTTGAAAACCCTATGGGGCAGGTCTATTCTGACCTATAGGGTTGCTATGAGTTGAAATCAAGTCCATGGCAATGGGTTTTGTTTTTTGGTTTTGAAACAGGAGACTAAAGAGCAAGGTTCAAAAAAATCCAAAGAGCAGAATTTGCAGGGCTGAGAAAACACATCCACCAGGCTCCAGTCAAAAGCCTGGAAAAGCTACACAAGAGGAGGAGGTGGCTGGGGTGGAAAAGGCAATCTCATGCAGGCTTGTTCTACTTAGGAGACAAAAATCCCAATATGAGGTAGAGCCTGAAACAAATATGCACCATCTCCTTTATGACATCTGTCCTATTCTGAAGTTGTCTGGGGGAAGACCTTTGAATGGCAAAAGTGCAAAGAGCCCATGAAAGTCATAACACAGCCCTGCAGGGAGGCTAAGGCAACTACAATTCGTGGGGTAGAATACTGGAGAGCAGTTGCTGAATAGAAAGAGAACTCTGGAGATCCACAGAGGGGTCAGTTATGGACTGAATTGTGTCCCCCAGGATATGTTTAAGTTGTAATGCCTGTACTGTGAATGGGACCTGGTTTGGGGAAATAGTGTTTTTCTTTCAGATGTCATCAGTTAAATGAGCTCGTATGGGAGTAAGACGGGTCCTAATCCTAACCCCTTCTGAATGGTATCTATCACACACAGGGGGAAGGACACACGGGCATCTATAAGCAGTAAAGAAATCCTGAAGATTATTGGCAGCCACCAGAAACTGGAAAGCTCCCAGAAGGAACTGACATGGCTAATACTCTAATTTAGACTTCCAGCCTCAAGAACTGTAATGCAATAAATCTCTTTCTTTCTTTTTGCCATGGGAGAGCACCACAGTAAAGAGCCACTTTTCAGAGTGGCTCTAAGACTGGTGGGGGCAGATGGGAAACAGCATCAGCTATAGCCAGAAGCCACTACGACGCAGTCCTAATGGTATAGATCCAAGTGCTGTGAGGAAAGTTGGAGAGCCGTAATAGAAAAACTCATTGCTTTCGAGTCGAATCTGACTCATAGCGGCCCCTCCTTGGGTTTCAGAGGCGGTACCTCTATGGAAGTAGATTGCCCATTCTTCCTTTCGAAGAGTGACTGAGTGGTTTGAACTGCCAGCCTTCTGGTTAGCAGTCAAATGCTTTAGGCTCTACGCCACCAGAGCTTCTAGGAGAGCCGTAATAGTAAAAAATATGAATCATATGGAATGAAACGAGCAAGTCCATTAAAAGTGACATATATTGGAGGCGTGTGTGTGTGTGTCTCTGTCTTCAATAAATAACCAGAAACCAGTCAGACAAATTCTGAAAGAGCTGTAACACTCAAATTTCTATTCTTTAAAGCCACCAACTTTGTGGTATTTTGTTATATAAGGCCCAGGATACCAAGACACGCCCCTTGAAACTCTGGCCCAGTACTGCTCTACACATGCATGATAAGAAACAACCTGAGGCTCAGGAAAGAACCAGGAAACAATTCTCAGGACTCACACACAGGGCTGGAAATTGCTTATGTTTCTGAAAATTAGCATGGAAAGGCCTTATAACAATGTGATACAGGTCTCAGAAGGGTATTGCCTTAGTACCAAACCCCAAAACCAAACAGACTGCCATTGAGTTGATTCCAACTCATCATGACCCCCATAGGGCTTCCAAGGCTGTAAATCTTTACAGAAGTAGATTGCCTCATCTTCTTCCCACAGAGCAAATGGGTTTGAACCACCAACTTTCTTGTTAGTAATCAAACACCTTACCCACTGTGCTACTAGAGCTCCTTACTGCCTCAGTAGTGGGACTAAACTAGCTCTAGACTAAAGGCTGCTCTGGACTTGCCTTAACAAAGTTAAGAGGATCCAAATGATTTGCAATAAATTTGACCACATACAAAAGTCCAAAGACAGTGAAAGGAATAGATCAAAATCTTCTTCTTCTTGTTGTTATTTGCCATCGAGTCAGCCCCGACTCATAGCGACCCCTCCTTGGGTTTCCGAGGCAGTATCACTACGGAAGTAGGATTGCCCAACCTTCCTTCTGAGGAGTGGCTGGTGGGTTTGAACCGCCAGCCTTCTGGTTAGCAGTCAAGTGCCTTAGGCACTATGCTACCAGAGCTCCTAGATCAAAATCTAGCACTCAACTATGTAAAATTTACAATGTCCAAAAAAATGACCAGACATGAAAACAAGCAAGAAAAAATGATGCATAATCAAGAGAACAGTCAATTGACAGAACCAGAAATGAGATGATAAAATTAACAGCTACACATTAAAAATGTTATTATAAATATGTGCCATATATTCAAGAAAGTAAAGGAAAACAGGAACATGAGGAGAAACTGAAGATATAAAAATTAAATGTTACTTCTACAGATGAAAATACAATACTTGAAATGAAAACCACACAGGATTAGATTAATAGCAGATTACATATTGAGGTAAAAAAAGATCAGTAAGCTTGAATACATGGCAATACAAAGTATTCAAAATGAAATCCAGAGAGAAAGAAGACGGAAAAAAAAAAGTTCATTTAAAAAATGAAAGTGGCAGAGAAAAGGTGTGCGGGGCCAGGGGGTGGGGGTGCAGTTTAAGAGACAGAAAAATATTTGAACAAATAATGGCCAAAAAGTTTGATGAAAACTATAAACCTATATATCCTAGAAACTCAATGAAGTCCACATACAACAAAAATATTTTTTTTAAAAAAATCACCAAAGCACATCATAAATAGCTAAAATCAATAATAAAGAGAAAACCTTAGAGCAGCCAAACGGGGAAAAAAAAGATATATATGTATACTAGAACAAAGATAAAAATGACAACAGACTTTTGATGAGAAAACAAATCAAAACAGATGGAGAGAAATCTAGAATTCCATACCTTGTAAAAGTTTCTTTGAAAAGTTGAAATAAAAACACCTGGTCAGAAAATCCAAAAGGTAAGAGAGAATTCATCGCCAGCAGAACTACACTATAGGTAATGTTAAAGGAAGTTGTTCAGGTTGGAAGAAATTTGTTTTTTTTAATTGTGATTTGGGTGAAGTTTTACAGAGCAAATTCACTTTCCATACAGCGGTTCACGTATATTTTGTCTCATGACATTGACCACAGTTTACTACAATGCAACAGCTCACCTCCCACTTCCTCTCCATAGTTAGTTACCTCTTCCCTGTGTCCTTCCCTCCACGGCACTCCTGCCCCCTGAGCTATCTCCCTGTGCACAAGCAGCCCTTCTTTCTCCCATGATTGTTCTCTCCAAGGAGGGTATCTACCTCAGGTAAATGTTCAGCTCATATGCCTGTCTTTTGTTTGGCTGGAAACCACAGGTGTGGGTTCAATTCCAGACCTGAAGGGCAGCTAGAGGCCATAGTCCCAGTGGTTCCACCAGGCTCTACTGGACCAGCAAACCTGGTCCTCCCCCTTTTTTTTCCCCAAATGCTTTTGAGTTTTGTTCCACATTGTTCTCCCTCTCTGTTCAGGATCTCCTACATAGATCCCCTCTGAGTGGTTGACAGTGGTAGCCAGGCACCATCTAGTTCTTCTGGACTCATAGTCGTATAGGCTGCCGATCACATGGTGTACCAGTCTTCAGGAATAATTGTTTCCATGAATCTTTGCTTTTCTTCATTCTGCTTTGCTCTGGACGAGGAGAGACCCATCGTTGCATCTAGATGGCTGCTTGCAAGCTTTTAAGATCCTAGTCGCTACTCGCCAAAGTAGAAGGTGGAACAAAATTTTGTATAGTATGTTATGCCTATTGAGCTTGATGTTACCTGTGGCTATGGTCCTGAGCCCACAGGTTCAATTACTTGGTCCCTCTGGGTAGCTGGCTGTGACCAAG